GGTCGAGCCCATAACTCTCGATACATTTGTCGCGAAAATTTTCAAAAATGTCGGCCAATAACAAGACATCCGTTTTTAAATACAAGTCGCTGTATTCGCCCAGCGTTCGAACGGAGAACCGCCTTCACACGTTTTTGGCGTGCGCTTAATCGCTCTCGGATACGGTGTCACCGGTCAAGGAACTGTAAAATGATTCGCGCGATGGTAAACACGTATCGTGCAACCTATCGACACAGTCAATGTATTCGTATGGAAAGACGCCTTTTCGCGTTAATAAATTGAACCCTTCGGTCGATAAATTTTGAAATTTCGATTTTAAAATTTAGAATTTATCATTATTTAGAAACGATGCCAATTTTTCGAGACTAGTACTGAGAAATTTGTACAAATCGATGAACCGTAACTTTATATCGCTTCGCCAATCTGATCTTTCGACGGTATCTTTAACGTGTTTCGTGAATGAAATATACTTTTCTTTCGTTATCGGTAGTACGTTGATCGAGCCTTCGAACGCGGTAGCTATTTCCTCGATGATAAAATGTGAATCGTAACCGGATAAATTGTGAAAAACTATTGGAATGCAAAAAGAGTCTTTATAATTTAAATTGCAGTTTGAATGCGCGGGACCTCGGTACCGCCCGGTAAGATGGCAATGATCGCGTACGCGTGTATCGTCTTGCTCGAACGGTTTTTCGCAAATATGACAGTGTGTCGCGCTGTGAAACTTTTCCCGCTCATCTCGCATTAAACTTACCATGGGGATATTCGTGGTTAAAATAGTCCTTACGCGTTGCGCTAAATTTTTTAATTTTTCCACGAACCACGAAACGCAGTCCGTACTGCGGCGAGAATGATACGCGGATAACGATTCGTCGTACGAACAATGTACATAATACGCTATGCTAAATACTTGATGATGTTGTCGTAAACGTGTACGTAGACGTCATCGGATCACCGTCGGTCTTCCTCAGCACGCACTCCAAGTCGGCGTATACGACGAATGGAAGCTCTTATTGGCGCTCTTATCACCCGACACGAATTCACCGTTGAATACAGTATTCACTTTCACGTTAAAGTATCTTTCCATAACTTTTTGCACGTGTTCGAGCACAATGTCTTTCGCATCCTCGAGAAATTGCCGCGGTTCGATATAGTATGCGTTAATCACCGCACCGGTCAGTATACGGTTTTCGAACGCGGTATCGATCTCTCGCCAAACGAGTCTTTCCGCGTTATTCCCACCACTGTAATCACCACCGCTATGTATAAACCGTCTCTCTAATCGAATCTTCGCACCCTCGAGTCGCGCGATTCTAGCCACCAAAGATTGTCGAACTCCGATCGAGAGCCGCGGACGCTTGACACTACTGCGTTCCTCGAGCTGTTTGATAAATTCTTCGCATCGCTGCGCCCACGCGAAATACTCGCCCAAGGTAGCGACTCGGTGCGATAGCTCCAACAGGTCGCGTTCGGTTTGCTCGGTGTTTTCCATGTTTTTTTATTATTATTTTTTACTTTGTGCAGATTATCACAAAATCTTCCTCTACCGAACACTTGACACACAAAAAAATACAAGTACCCGCTGTACCTTTTTCAACCGATATACGGACCGCAAGCTTTCAAATCGCATACTGAGTTTTTGACACCCTTCGTTCTTTATTATATATTTTTCATCTATCGCGTTATGGTACCGCGATAGTTCTATCTTGTTTATAATAAATTCTAGCAGCCGGACATCGGCGCTCGCCTTATCATCTAATTCTAATGTTACGCGCAATAGTGCGTGAGCGGCTCCTCCTGGAAAAAATGGAGAGACCACCACGATGGTTCTATTTTGTTTATAATAAATTATAGCAGCCGGACATCGGCGCTAGCCCGCTTTGGTTGAAGAATGTATCCCAGAAGCGATCAATTCGTGAACTGGTTGTCGAAAGAAATATTTCTCACCAAAAACGTTTTGCATGTACGCTTTGGTTGAAGAATGTATCCCAGAAGCGATCAATTCGTGAACTGGTTGTCGAAAGAAATATTTCTCACCAAAAACGTTTTGCATGTACGCTTTGGTTGAAGAATGTATCCCAGAAGCGATCAATTCGTGAACTGGTTGTCGAATGAAATATTTCCCACCAAAAACGTTTTGCATGTGCGCTCTGGTTATTAAAAAAATATTTTATCCCAGAGGCGATTTTTATTCGTGTGCTGGTTGTTTTAAAAAATATTTTATTCCAGAAGCGGTTTGCATGTGCGCTCTGGTTATTAAAAAAATAATATTTTATCCCAGAGGCGATTTTTATTCGTGTGCTGGTTGCTTTAAAAAATATTTCATATCATATGCGGTTTGTGCATGAGTATTCTGGTTATTAAAAAACAGTTATTCCAGAAGAAATTTAAAGAAACTTCCGTTTTTGAAAGACTAAGTGTGCAATATCTGGTATTCCTTCATGTTCGGGAGTCGACCTCGACGAGATCGCCCGAATCTTAATAGACGCTCAGAGATGAACGAGAAGCGATGTGTAACACGAATCCGTAGATCCCCTGAAGGATAAGGAGAATTTCAGTAAATAATCGATTGTAGATTGTGTCAAGATTCGTTTAATTTTGAATAATAGGAGCGAGCGACGGCACGTATTCCGCGACTCCGACGGAAATCTTCACAATGTCCTGTTACTGACTGCCTTGGACGCGTATCGGAAATCTTGTAGAGCTTCATGCTAGAGGCTCTCGCGAGAACGGATATCTTGCACGCGGACGCCGGATGTTGCTTGGCGCGAGGCAGAGGACATTCGCGGAACGGTTAACGCGCGTCGACTCTCGGACTCCAAACAATTAACAATCACAAACTCAATAAGTATATAGAGCGTGTAGTAATATAGAATGAGGCGTCTTTCGCACTGAATTCGATGCTCGATCGTATGCTAGAATGTCGGTTGAGAATTTACAACGAGAATGACGAGAGCGCATACGACACGAGCGAGATTAAAAACAGCAGCGCGAATGGTCTATGAGTACCGCGACACGACACGAGATAATATCATACTAGAAATTATGATACGAGATATTATGATCGATTGCTATCGACCAGCTCGAATCGTCGTCAGCGGCAGACTAAATCGACCGACCGCGTAAACTCGCGCTCTGCCGATCTGAATAACAAGTTTTTCTGATTTCGAACCTTCGAGAACTTGCTGTTTGTCACAGTTTTTCATTCGAAGAAGAATGTGATCACGCACCGAGCGGGTGACCGCGACGCTGTTTGTTCTCGCTCGTGTTTTATTTTCTGAAGCAATCGTTTTAATATAACGGCGAAATTTAGACGAAATTTTAATGTTTCAATTTTGAAAATACCGCCCGCCTTGGAACGATAATTCCAAAGTAATCGAGGTAACAATTGCAGTAAACGACAAGAGCGCACGCCACAAGTAACATGAGATACATGAGCGAAAAGACGACAAGTTACGCAACGTGGTTTGACGCGCTGAATTTGCCGCCCGCCTTGGCGGAATGACGCTTGCGTCTTGACAATTTTGATTTTAATCTTATGAATTACAATAAATAAAACGCAACGCAGCGAAGATGTCTAATTGCTCGTTGCCTCACTATTGACCGGTAGAACGCACAATTTTACTATCGGACTTTTGAATTCGGAGGTGGCCGTCTTTACGGTGACGACCCGGACGAAGCCGTCGGAGCCGGGGTAACAGCGTGTCACTCGGCCCAACTCCCATTTGCAGGGGGGTAAAAGCGGATTTCTTAACAGAACGAGTTGCCCGGTTTTGATCGGCGGCTTGACCTTTCGCCACTTTGCTCTTTGTTGTAACGTATTTAAATAATCGTTACTCCATAGCTTCCAAAATCGCTCGGTAACGTGTCGGACGAGCTGCCACCTCGAAAGACGATTTTCGTGGAGATCGAGCAATGATGGTTCCGGGTTAACAGTAAGAGCGGATCCGACCAGGAAGTGGCCGGGGGTCAGACCTTCGTAGTCCTCAAGCGTATCGGAGAGGGGCGCAATCGGCCTAGAATTAAGACACGCTTCGATTCTGCATAGTAAAGTCGAGAATTCCTCGAATGTGAGCATGTGATTCCCTAACACGCGACGCAAATGAGTTTTGACGCTCCGTACGCCCGCCTCCCACAATCCTCCGAAGTGCGGAGCAGACGGGGGAATAAAATTCCACGAGACGTTATCGGAGGCAGTCAAGTTCAGAAAATTCGGATCGCGTAATGCTGACCGGTACGCGACGGTCATTTGTCGGTCCGCCCCGACGAATGTTGTCCCGTTGTCCGAATACATGGAGTGCGGGAGGCCGCGGCGAGCGCAGAATCGAGAGTAAGCATTTAAAAAGGCTTGAGTGGAGTAGTCGCTTACTAACTCCAAATGTATTGCCTTTGTCGCCAGGTAGATAAATAGTGCGATATATGCTTTACGCGACGTAATACCTCGTCCAGCGGAAGCGCAAATTTGCACGGGTCCTGCGTAATCCAGGCCGCAATGCAAAAAACAGCGGACTGTTGCTGTCACGCGAGTTTCGGGAAGATCTCGCATGATTTGTGTGGGAGTCGCGGCTCGTTCGC